TTGTTACTTAAATTACTGATTTCTAAGTTTTCGTAGAAACGTGGTCTTCGCCAACTCTTATCTTCACTCACAGATGTTAAATTCTATATAGGCTCTAGAGCTGTCATTTAGTCGTGGCTTATTTTACAACACTGTGACAACAGCCAAAGGTTTATTAATCTTCACACCGAGTACAAGAATGCAATGATAGGCAGCCTATGGGGAAATTTGGTAGCGGCATTCTTTCTGTTATAAAGTAACCTGGCTTGATAGCTCCAGGGAACGCGGTCAAAGACCTCATCGAATTGACCAGTTCAGTCCACATCTCATGGCAAGTATCAGAGTGCGATGTGTTCGCTGGTTGCATATTTTACAAGGACAGTGTTCAGTAGTGCCCCGTTTGTCTTAACGCGCAAAACATCGATGTTATTTCCGAACAAACTTCTATTAAAACGGTATTCGATGTTGCTATTAAGCTGCTTAGCAATAATTCTATATATTTCTGTAACCTTCCAAGTGTTATGAACAAGATAAAACGTCTTGAAACCAATCAATCAAAACAAACTTAAACTCTGTCTGAATCGACCGATTTGCAATTTTTACACAATAAACATTTTAAGTTGCTAGATAAAATAACTTGTAAAAAAAACTTTAGACTACGCATGGAAACAAGCTAGGCTCGATCCTAGGACGAAAGTAGTTAGAGTCAGTGTCAGATATGTTTTTTAGCCCTCGTGTGTACTACATGTTCCACCCATCTCATCTTCCTCGAGTTGACCGCCCTAATAGTATTCAGAAAAGAATACCAATTACGAAGCTCCACTGGCTTATAAATTAATTCCTGCTTCACCAAATATTTTTGTCAGGATCCTATTCTCACCCTCAACATGAGTTATTCCTTTAGAATGAGAGACAGACTTAATTAACATTTAAAGTTAAATGTTTATCACATCGTAGTGTCATTTTATGTTTATATTTTTGAATGAGGAACCATAAAACCTGTGTCTTAAAAGCTCATATTTCAATAATTTTTTTTCATTTCCAGCTGAAAGGGCCCAATCCTGTGTAATTAATTTCTAATTATAAAGAGTATGCAACCTCTCAACTTGCCGATTGCAACTTTGCTAACCTGAGCGTGTGTAATGCGGGTCACTGTACAGAAGAACGTGGGAGTAACTAGTTGACACAAACACGAACAACACCGTTACAAAATACAACCTCTGAAAAACTTTGTACATAATCCTCGTGAAACACGTGTCGTATCATAATTATGCGTGCAGTGGCGGAATTACGCGAGGGCGAGCAGGGAAATTGGCCTAGGTGGAGGCAGCTCTTCTGTCTCGAAATAAATCTGATGACTGGTACACAGTTTATCATTAAGACTAGTAGTACGCCCATCAGCAATGTACAACGGCAGGCCTGCCAGTGCAGTTCAAATTCAAGTCTCATTTTCTCTCGATTTCATTTGATTTAAACATCAAGTCGTGGAAATTTGTCCTGGAGCACGAGTACATTCATATCGATGATTCAATATTATATGATATAAATAATGCCTAGAA